TTAAATTTTGAGACAGAGTCCTACTAAGTTGCTTAGGACTCACTAAGTTGCTGAGACTGACTTTGAACTCACAATCCTCCTGCCTCAGTCTCCCAAGCCACTAGGATTACATGCATGTGCCACCATGCCTAGCTAAATTATAGAACTTTTGAAAGCTCCTTGTGCCTCTGTCCAGCCAACACCCTGCTACAAATTAACTGTGCTCTGCTATGTCTGGTTATGGATGGAACTCATGCCACCTTCTTTCTCTTGCTATGTCTGTAAGACTCATCATTGCTTTCTGTGTCCATTTTTCCCACTTTGACACTGCTGACCAGAGGCCATTGTATGGATGCAGCCCCACTTCCTCAGCCATGCTCCATCAGGATACAGTGGACATAGGCAATCCTTTCTCAGGGATCTATGCTCCAGAAGGGGAGTGGCTGGGTTGTACTGTGGCCATGCCAACTCACTTTCCTGTCCTCTGTGGTAATACGAGACCAGGGATCTTTTGTCTTCTGGCTTCGTCTTAGGCTCTGCTAGCAGGGAGTGTTCTCAGGAGGCTACAAGGCTGAAGGAAGAAGGGACTTGCTCCTGTCTGCCAGGATTACCCTAGCAAGGCTTCTTCACTTGAGCAACAAGCAGTGCATTTCCATGGCACCAGATGAATCCAATTTTCATATTTTCTAATACTTGTAAAACCAGCATCATTATCTCCTGCCTCTATGACAGCGATATCCCCCAGTGCCCTTGTTTAGAACTCTGAGCACTAGATGGCTCTTTGAACTCACAAACCCCAGTGCCACCAGCAGGCCCCTCCTCCTCAGAGATCTGGGTCCCAGCCCCAAGGGTCTCTTTTCTGAGCCAAGTGAACCCAGCTCTAGGTAGGCACCTCCCCCACGTCAGACTCAGAGACTCAGCACTAGCTCTGGGGCTCTTCCTCTAAGTTTCTAAATTTGAGGAGTTCCAGCTTTTTCCCCTTGATCCCCAGCCTTAGGTCTAAATTAGTTTCCTAGAACTGTCATAAGAAAGCACCACAAACTGAGTGGCCCCAAGTCCTAGATCATAATGTTAGCAGAAGAGGGCTGGGGGTGCCACTCAGTATTGGAGTGTGTGCTTAACATGCACAGGCCCTGGGCTCTATTCCCTGCACCGAAACCCTGCACCCCCGCAAACAAAAATATGTCAACAGGGCCCCATTCCCCCAGCATGTTCCCCCAGCACTCACTAGGGGAGCTGTGTCATTGTCTGTACTTCCTGGTTGGCTTCAGACTGACAAAGTGCTACCTGCACTAGCAGCAAAATGACAGTTGAATTTGCAGCCTTGCCATGAGTCTATGTGGAAGGTTGGGCAGTGGTTAGGAGGAGTAGGACCCTGAAACTTACTAGTGCTTTCAGAAAGAGATCAACAAAGCAAGCCCCAAACTCCATCTATCAAGATACAGATTCAAGGGCTGGGGATGTGGCTCAAGCGGCAGCGCGCTCGCCTGGCATGCGTGCGGCCCAGGTTCGATCCTCAGCAGCACCACATACCAACAAAGATGTTGTGTCCACCGAGAACTAAAAAATAAATATTAAAAAAATTCTCTCTCTCTCTCTCTCCTCTCTCACTTTAAAAAAAAAAAGATACAGATTCAACTCACATTGTGATTCTATAATCTGTAACACAACTTAAACTTTGGGTTTGATTTTGGCATTATCAGCCCTGCAAGTACAAAGAGTAAAAAAAAAAAATGTTGAAGACTGTACCTGTACCATGGTCTCAAGGCCCACCTCAATTACCCCCATTGTCATTTGGCACACTATTAGTGTTTGATTTCAGCATGCTCCAGTGGGACAGGCACACTAAGACCCAGGAGTAAATAGCTTATACACAAACAACAACAACAAGAGTTTTACTAATAAATATTTGTGAAAACCTTTGAGAATATGTGTGTGGGTGCATCCTAAAGACATTATACCAAAGAGAATGGAATATAATATTGGGTTGGGCACAATTTATTGAGCTGGGAGCATTTGCCACAGATTCTGTATTTCATGTTAGTCCATGCAGTTAGAAGTGGTTGATTTAAACTTGAACTCAACTGTGGCTTAATTTCAATGATACTTAAATAACAGAACAACCTTGGCCTGATAATAGAGGAAGGAACACGAAGTTGTACGTCTTAGGGAAATGAGAGACATTAGTGCCTTGAACTTAAAAATTGCAGTTGTGCTATCTCTCCTATGCCCATTTGTCTATTTGTTCCTGTATGGAAAGTGGATGACTCAGATCATGACTGGAGATAAATCTAAATCTAATCACATGATGACTATAATTGTTCCAGACACATAGCATCACAACCTCTGCACCCGGTGTGCAGCTACTGCCCTGTCAAATACTTTTATTCCATACCATTTGCAAAGGCCACCAGAGTAATTTGTTGTTTTGACACCCAAGAGATTTCTACCACTGAGCTACATTCCTAACACTCTATTTTTTAATTTTGAGACAGGATCTCACCAAGTTGCCCAGGCCAACCTTGAACTTGCAATCCTGCTGTCTGGGCTAACTGAATAGCTGGGATTATAGGTGTGACCCATTGTGCTTGCCTTTGCTTTTGCTTTTTTTGTTTGTTTGTTTTTGATCTGGCTGGGCCACCATTACAACAGAGCCTAAGAACTCCAATATGTCTCCTCCACTGTGACATGATATGGTACTTAGAAACTGTGTCTTGACATTCTTCACATCACACTGGTTCACTATATTGACAACATCATCTTGATTGGATCTGATAAACAAGAAGCAAAAAGCACTTTAGTTATCTTTGTGCTGGACATGGTGGTACATGCCTATAATCCCAGCACTCAGGAGACTGAGGCAGGAGGATCACAAGTTCAAGGCCAGTCTCAGCAATTTAGCAAGGCTCCATCTCAAAACATCAAAAGGACTGGGGATATAGCTCCATGGTTATTAAGTACCCCTAGGTTTAACCCCCAGCACCACAAAAAAAAAAG